GTGTATATATCTTTATGAGAGATATTAATTTTGAATAGTCGCGCAGCCATGAAGTGCATTATAATGTCTAATGAACATTCCCCTTTTTTATGACGACAATGAGCTGGTACTTAACGGTCTTGAATTAAGTGTAGGTAATTTTCTTCCGTTTTTTTAAAGAAAAAAAAGACGCCTATACAGAGTAGATATGTTTTCCCTTTGTCAGGAGGGACAATTGCAATAATATTGTACAGTTATATAAATTGCTTAATTATATTGATTACAAGCACAATCTATATTTGTCACGAAGGATTTTGAAATCATTTCATATATCCTATATATAATTTAAATCTATTTGCAGTGATTTTATAAATTTTTAATTTATAATTACCAGTTTTAATAATTAATTTAAGGAGGTTATAGGGATTGACTGAATAAATCAAAACAGAAACCATTATTTTATGATTTGACTTTCTCGGTACTGTGAAACGTCTGGCAACACCACATTACGTCAGTCGAGTTGCAAATGGTTGCTTTATGACTTGTTTACTTTAATAAAACAATTATCCCTCTATTTAATTAACTTTAATTTTAAAAATGTATAATCAATTTTATTTATTAACTTTTATTTTCTTTTTAAATATAACGTATTTTATACGTGCTATCAGAATCAACATTTTAAAATTTAGCGCGCAAAATTAACGTATAATATGCATGATCAAGTGTGCAACGTTGTCAGACGTTCTGACAGCTGTTCAATTTAACGTATAAAACGTGAAATATTGTTACAAATTATTTTATTGCAACTCTCACAAGAACCTAATGACCCTTTTTTAAACGGATATTTAATCATTATATATCTGTTTTGTATTAAAAAAAGTTTCATCAATTTCTTAATATCAGGTAATTTGTGGTGAACAAATATGTATGAGAAAGTACTCAATTCCCATAAGACTCAATGTTAAATGTTAAAAAACAAAAACACTCATAACTTTTTTCACAAGTACCTAGAGGTCTCAAAAATTTAACAACATTTTTTTGAAACCTTTATCTAGTAGTGGACCAAGTTTCATTAAATTGGTAATATCAGATCTATTATCCCTATAACCTCCTTAACAAATTAAATTTTAATTAAAAAAAACTTTCTTGAAAAAGTTAAACAAAATCACTGTTTTTTTTTTAAGGTAACAAGTTTTGATACCAATGTTAATTTGGATCAAATTAATTAAATTTTGATCCAAATATTGGTTTGTTGCAATTTATGATACCTCCAAATTAACAGTGATGTGTATTATTTTGATTTCATTAAAACTCCTGACAGTTTAAAAAAATTGTCGAGTTAATATGGTCAACTGGAATTGGGAGTACAATTTTTGAAGTTAAAAATCAACTCCAAAATTAAAATTAAAATTAAAATTAAATTAACTCCTGAATCCCCTTTTTTAAAGTACATATATGAATATTCCCTCTAAAACTGAATCAGTGAAATTTGACTGAGAATCAGTGGGTCTATTCTCCCGATTTCAGTCAGTGAAATTTCACTGGAAATCAGTTAAAAATGATTTAAATATCAGTCATTTTTCACTGATTCCCAAGCAAAAATTTAGAACCGGCGCAATGTTGCGCCAGTACTGGCAATTACTGGAAAAGTACTGACCGCCAATATTGAACCAATACTGGCATATGTTTGGGATGATACACTGAGAAAAAGAATTATTTGTTTCAAATATAAAGATCAGTTTAAAAGTTTTTGTTTAACCCAACACAGTTTTTATGTTTAATTTTAATATATAGAAAATATTTTCTACTTTGGCTTAAAATTATTATTTGTTTGAATAATTATGTTTGATTCAAACATATTTTCTGTTTGGCTTAAACTGAAAATATGTTTAAAATTTTTATGTTTGATTTAAACATAAAAATTTATTATGAATAAATTGAAATCAACCATAATTTATGTTTAAATTAAATATATTTTCACATTGAATCAACCAGAGAATATATTTAATTTAAACATAAATATGTTTGACTGTATAACAAAGCTATTTTAAGTTTGGGTTAAACATATTATGTTTGAATCAAACATATCGTTTTCTCAGTGTAACGTTTATTAGTATACTGGTTATTAGTAATGGCTTACTCTCTAAATCTGAATTAGTAAAAATGTTTACTAATTTGAATTAGTGACTCACTTTTTGCTTCTGAATTACTTAAATTTTACTAATTGTTAGTAAAAGTTACTGATAATTAGTAAAATTTTACTTAAATTTTACTAATTGTTAGTAAAAGTTACTGATAATTAGTAAAATTTTACTAATTCAGAAGCAAAAAGTGAGTCACTAATTCAAATTAGTGAACATTTTTACTAATTCAGATTTAGAGAGTAGTACTCGTTCAATACTGGAATTTAGCAGTAATTCTGTATTTTGCCAGTACGGGCAAAATTATAGTAACCAGTAATAAGCCAGCATTGGTATAGATATTCCAAATTCAGGGTTCTTTTTGCTTTTTACAATAATTTAGCAGCTGGATCGAAGAACCGACTCATAGCATTAACTATTAATAATAATAAATTATTATAATAACTTTTAAATTGTTATTTTTTTCTATTAACATTTTACTCTTTGTTTTATTATTCAAATAATTTCTTCAAATATTATAAAATATACATTTATTTGTATTTGTTCAAATTATCGAAATTGAATGAAATTATTGGGTTAAAATTGAGTTTATTTGATTCAAATATATTTTTCCAGTATAAGAAAAATAATTTGAGAACTTCATTACATAATTATGTATTTTTTTTATTAAAAAGAAAAGAAACTTTTAATCTATATATAGGTGAAATTGTCCTAAACATATAACTTACAATTCGTTTACTTCTAAGGTCCCTTTCTTCGCGACTATATTTATATAACAATTTAATTTAATTTCTATTATAGCGAACGCATAACTATTTAATATTTTATGAGCCACAAGTTTGGAACGTTCAAATGAACGCAATATTTTATTCAATCTATAAAAATATCAATATTGCTTAGAGAATAGCAGAAGGATGTAAAGACTTTGGAAAATTTTACATTATTAAAATATGAAATCTCAATTCAAAAATGATAAATAATTCTTAAAAATTGTCTTTTATACCTAAAACGTATAAAATGACTCAATGACTGATAAATATTACTATTGGCAAAAATTGTGTATTCTTAAATATTAATGGCTCTTAAATAATAGTTCTCAGTTCTTTTATTGTTTAGCGACTTTTATGCTTTATCTTTTATCTTGTACTTTTGGAAAAGATGTAATGCATCTTAAATCCTCGATTTTAAACCTTTAGCTGATGATGATGACGGCATTAACTAAATGCAATAAGTAGACGTTTAAGTACAGGTAAATTATTAGTCAAACTAAATCCTTCTGTTTCAAAGGAATGAATACTAACTGGATTCACTTAGCTCCACTTATTATCCCAAATTTCGCTTATTTTAAAGGATAATCTGAAAATTCGTTTATACAGGTATAAAGGAAAGACGGACATAACGCTACTTTATTAGTACAACACCCGAAAATAAAATTATGATCGTAAAACTATTAGGCTTACTTTGGTTACTTTGAGGTTAGTGAGGGTATTATAATGTTTACATAGGCTTCTGAAAAATCTTACGATTACCTGAACCTTAAATATTCCCTTTAAACAGGTGTAAAACGATATACTGTATATGTATATTTAGACAACTGTGTATATTTAGAGTCGCATTCAAAAGAATGATCTTCCAACTTTGTAGATATATACTTATATATATATATATTTAACCGATATTTATCTTTTGACAAATTTAACAAAAAGATTTTAAATTTAATTATGATGAACATAAAATTTCTTTAAACAAAATTTAATGTGGTTATGACACTAATAAACTATCTTGGAAATATTTTGCGTGAAATCAATTGACTTATAAAACTGTTATTCATATTATAACCCTTCGGTTATAAATTTACAACCATACTTTTAGAATGTATATATTAAACAATAAAAACAATTTCCAATAAGACATCAATAATTTAGGGGTAAAAGTTGTTATAGGCCTGGAAAAGAATTTCATGTTTATTTATGTACTATAAACACACCTTTCTGTTTTTAATACAATAGTCTTATACATAGATTATATTCATTATAATTTATGATGATAGATTTGTGTGAGACTTATAATACATACAATATTATTCTTTTATAGAAGAAAAAGGGCTATGATTCTTTAAACTATGGGGACATTAAGTAATCCTTACTAATTAGTTATAGCGTACAACGAATGTGATTTCTATTTGTTGGAATTTTCATAAGATTCAACAATTTAGAAATTTTTTACAAATATTAAATTAAAATTTAATGAATGTTAATTATTTTTACATATTGTTTTTAATTTGCAATGCATGAAAATCTATTGATAAATGACGTTGAAATATTAATTTTTTTATGGATTAATATAATGAATCGATATTAAAAAATAATCGCAATCACATGTTTAATATCATGTAAGGAATGTAATATTAGACAATTTCTATTTCTCAAATAATTTCATAAACAAATTTTCATAATAAAAAAACAATAAATGAAGACCAATATTTCTATTATAAAAAATCTTAATTATTATTAAACAAACAAAATGGTAGATATTTTTCATATGAAAAATCACTTTTTGTTTTTATTTTTATTCCCGATAAGGATATCCAAGTAAACACTAGACAACGTCTGTGAGCAAAAAACATAAGAAATTGCCAATGATCCTTTGGTGGTTGGGCGTTTCTTAGGGTGGATCCTGATCATGCGCTTTCGAGAAAGCCACGCCTGATGATTAACTTCCCATCTAACAACCGGTTCCAATGGCCAGTGAGGTATTCACAACCAATGGGCGCTTGGTATCCTAGAGAAACATGTTCAAACAAGATAAAAGTAGGAAGAAGGCGGTCCCTAAAGTTCCTCTCCCCAAAAATTCTCATGTTACCCCGCGGTGAGTGATCGTGCTTCCAACAACTCAGTCCCGCTGTGAACGCAGCAAGGAACGCCACGGATTTTCTCCCTACCGCTCTCTAATATAGTGTATATCGTACAACATTCTTTGATTCTAAAAATCATCTAATATTCGTTATCGCGAAACATCCACAAGTTAACAAAAATATAACAAAATTCCTAAGCGAACAATATTACGAAATTTGTTACAAATTTTTCAAGAGAAAAAAAAGGATATTCATCAATGAACAGTGTTTATTTACATTCGTGATTGTAACTGGATTTGTGCTGATTGCAAGTGCATATAGTGAGTGACCTTTGTGAATTTTTTGTTTTTTTTTTTTTATGAATTAAGTGTGCGAGTCTTTTTTTCTTATCCTAACTGAGGAAATAGTGCATTCCTAACTAAAAAAGGGAATTCTATCTAAAGAAGAAATCCTAACTAAAAAAGGAATACAAACTATCCTAATTGAGAAGTGATTGATCAATTTCAACTCAAAAAGGAATTGATCTAGAGCAGTGATCCAGTGACAGTTTTAATTTAGAAAATCATGAAACGAGTCACGTTTAGCTGAGGTATTAGATTTAATCAATCCTTGTCTAAAATTATAGCTAGATCTTATAGCAAAAAACAATCACATTCAAACTGGAGGGAATAAAGCAGGAGTTCACAATGATGAACCCCTTTCTAGATGGGGTGTCATCTCACCCTCATCATTTAGCATCTCTTGGGATTAAGTTGTCGCCTGGGAGCAGTCCTACCGGCTCTATGGACGCAACAAATGGAGTTCAACCATCACCAGGTGAGGCTCCAGCGCAACAACATCACCACCTCTATCCCCAGAGTTATGCCCCTCATCACCCACACCCTGGTTCTCATATGGCACCTCACATGGGACACCACATGAGCCATCATCCAGGTTATGCGGCTCGTGATTTTCTCTTGCGAAGGGAACACGAATTCAATGCGACGGCAAATGCAACAACACCCGAGAGTGGTTTGGGTTTATTTACACCATTGCATCATGATGGTACTGCAAGTGGTATGCAACAATTTCCCCATCATCCTGGTCAACATCCATTGACAGCGACAAGTCACTATCCGGGTCATTATCCACAGGATAGTAGGCTACCACCACCACCGCCACCACCACCTCATCATCAGTATTTAGGTACACCACATTTGACACCCTCAATTCATCATCAACAACATCCCACGGTTAATCATCCAAGTCATCATCCACACGGTGCATTTTTGAGGTACATGCGAACTGGCGGCGGTGCTACGACAAATAATCAGAGGCAAGAGATGCCATGCATGTGGGTTGATCAGGATACACCTGGATCGGGAAGGAAGCTGTGCGGTAAGGTCTTCAATTCGCTTCATGACATCGTGACGCATCTGACAGTTGAGCACGTGGGCGGTCCAGAGTGCACGACGCACGCGTGTTTCTGGCAAGGTTGTTCCAGAAATGGCAGGGCCTTCAAGGCCAAGTACAAACTCGTCAATCACATCCGAGTACACACTGGTGAAAAACCATTTCCTTGTCCATTTCCAGGATGTGGCAAAGTCTTCGCCAGATCGGAAAACTTGAAGATTCACAAGAGAACACACACCGGTAAGTTTCTAAAATTTCTAATATATAAACAAGAATCTATCGGGGGGAAAAAATACTTTACCATTTAATGAATATTTATAAAGTTTAATAATAACAGATACTTTAGCTTCTAACTACACCAAGTGTTGATACTTGTTATCTGTTCTTATTTCGATAAGACAATTTACTCACAAACTGATGTTCCGAATACAAACATTACGCGAAAAGATTTTAACAGATTTGCAACAATAATTTTTATGCCTTCTAAACATTTCTTCAAAAAAAAAATATATAAAGTTAATTCCTTCAATTTTCAAATTAAATATTACATACACAAGAACGAAAATTCGTTTTGTATATACTTGATCAGAATTCTTTTGATCTTTGAATGAACAAAAAAAAAGATATATACCCTTGAATTATGTAGCTTTCAAAACAATCCAATCATTATACGTTTTGGAATATAATAGGATCAAAAACAGATAGTCATCGTAATGATACTTTAATCTCTTGAGTTAAAAAAAATTCTATTAAGAATTAAAGTTCATTATTCGACACAAAATAACATGGATGCAAATTATTATATACAATGAAGAAACACTAAACAGAAACAAGATTCTCTAAATCTTCTTGCTTAAATTTAAATCCTCTAATATTCATAATTATTTATAAATTTATCTTTATTAATAAATTTCAAAACCAAATATATCATGTGCATTATTGAACAATATATATATATATATATATAAGTAACGTTATCGTTATTTTCAATCATATCAATGGGAAAACTAATTAATAATTTTTACTGTTTTTTGAGAATGATATAAATAATAATTCTATTTACATCAAACTGGACGTGTAATTTATAGATTAATTACTATACTCTATATTTGAAAAATATTCTTTAACGATATATATTAGAGCTGTGCAAGTTTTTAAAATTCGAATCGCTCCATAAGAATTAACATGGGCTCGAAACGAATATTCGATCCGAGCCCATACAAAATTCGAACTTTTGCACAGCTCTAATATATATTTAAAAAAAAATTACCATCACTCTAATATAACAACAGGAGCAATTTAAAGCATGTCAGCTACTATAAATTCAGTTTATTTATCCGTGGGAAGCTTAATGACCTATAATATAAACGATAATAGATCTACTTTTAATGGAAATTCATGTTCACCAGGAAATGTTTTTTTTTAAATCGTTCATATTTTTTTTAAACTTAAAAAAATATTAATTTATATAATTTTATCGTAAGCTATCTCATTAAAGGATTCCTCACTTGGCAATGAACCAAATAATAAAAATATAGTCAAATAATTATAGATTTCTTTTTTTTTCGCTTTATAAATGCTGTAAAATTTTCGATGTTGTAAATCATGTACGAACTCTTCCTTCGTATATATATATATATATAAAAGCAAATCATTGGTATTCGAATAATCTGAACCACCTATCTGACTTCGTGATTCTCTCAACTGATTCGTATCTCCAATCTTATTTATTCCTCGTCTAGCAAATGAGTAGTTAAACATTTATGACTGTCTCTTTCATTTTCTGATTAAATTAAACTGTCTTCGGTGGTAAAAAAGTCTTGTCGGGACGACAGAAAGGTGTTAATATGTGAATTGCACGATTAATTTATGATCTAATTTATTTCGTTTTGGAAAAAAAAATTTATCAAATATGGAGGATGTTTGGAATTTATATCGAAATAAACAAATTCAATTTTCAGAATATGGTTATAATATTTAAAAATCATATTTGTCTATATTTATGTGACATTTAGTGCGTGATCAATTGTATATATTTATGAATGTACATGAATACATATATATATATATATATATATCTGTATATTATTCAAGTTGTATATTCAATTTCTATATATAAAAGTGTATTTTGAATGTATGAAATATGAAAAATAATAAATGTGCAGACCATTTAGGAAGAGGAGAAGATCGGAACATTATATACATATAGACAAGATTTTAAATTTTATGTTAACTGTTTCCGAACCATTTTTGGTCCATCAGAAATCTTGGGATTTCAATTTCGCGCGACCACAAGAGACAAATGTTCTCATAAACGCGACATGCGTTTTTTTTTTTTTTTTTTTTTTTTTTTAATTTTGACTTTTCCACGAATAACGTCTACCATTTACGTGAAATATTTTTAACTGCAGCAAACCTTGATTATTAATTCACTGAACTGAATTTGATTCAAATAATTAGTTACCAGATTATAAATAAATATTTATTTGAACCGAATAAATTATTAACTTATTAAATAAATAAATTTTTATTAGAATTAAATGAATTTTATTTGAACCAATAATTCCTGAATTTGAAACAAATACCATTTAATTGACTTAAGTAATAATTATTTAAATACAAATAAACATTTATTTGATAATAGTCAAGCAACAAATTATTTAAATCAAATAATTTTTTTTTAGTGTATAGAGACAGCGAATAAGATTGCTATGGGATTTAAAGCAATCTTGTTGTTTTTTGAAAAGTCACAGCTAACTTTTTAGTAGCTCTAGCAAACATTTTAGTTGTAGTAAATTTTTTCAGTAAACAATTGTTAGAATTTGTAGTTAATTCATTCCTTTGCGTATAATCTAATTTTTAAAAAAATCTCTAATTTCTTTTTCGCTATTTTTTTTCTATATATATATACGGTTGCATATTATGTTCACCCCGCCCCCGGCGCCACGAGCTCATCTCAATATAATCAACCGCCTCTTTATGATGACAAGAATTTCGGGACGCAATTAAGAAATTACCAGACCATATATCCTAGCTTTTTATGCCTTTGACGTGGACATTGTATTTACATATTTATATCAAGCGTTGCTGGCACGCTGCATGGGCAATATTGGACATTCTGTGGGAGATGACCGACCGCCCGACGGCTCGACGCTCAGCGTCCCTCCACAGGATTCTCCTAACTGCTTGTTTCTGGTCACTTCTTCCTCGAACTTACACCCGTTACCTGCTTAATTACGTGTTTCTCATCTTCTCTCTCACTCTATCTCTGTTTCTCACTCTCTTTCTATTTCGATGGAAAAATATCGACCTTAGTCATCTGTTTGAATTTATCATTCTTATATATTTTTCTCATCTCAGAAAAAGAAGTATATACATATGTATATAATAATATTCAAAATACCTTTCCGTCCCAAAAAGGGCCATTTTTCAAAAATAAAAAGAAAATTTCTAAAAATGCAGATTCTGACGGAAAAAAATTCAATGTTTAATTTATGTTTGTGAAAAGGCTGCATATATAAGACAATGACTAAATTTTTCTATATCTTTTGTATTTATTTTGACTTGTTTCTCTCTTATCATTTTCAATGAATATTTTATACTTTCTCATAGAGATGAAAATTTTTGAATTATATTATAAAATAAAACTGTCTAAAAAGCATCGTTTTTTTTAAATTGTATTTTTTTTTTTTGTTGAAATTTTAATAACTGTACGTAATATTTGATAATAAAAGATTTTTATTTATTTTTTTTTATGTCAATAATTATAGTCATTTGTTGAAAATAGTCAAAATTTTGCCCCATATATTTTTCTTAATTTTCTCTATTTATAAACATTGTTAATTTAAAATTCATTAACTTGTAAAATACAATGATTGAATTTTATTTTTAAATTAGAAAGCGCACCATATTTATCAATTTGCATAGATGGGTTAGTGAATAAGTTGTCGATAAATAGAATATAAACGCCCACCTATATATATACACACTATAGATATATGAGTGTGCGTGGAAAAAAAGAGATGAAGAGGGGCAAAAAGATTTGGATGCTTTACTCCCTCTGTGTGCCATGTTACGACATAAATTCGAACCCCATATATGTATAATAATAATAATAATAATACCCCTTTTGCGCCAGTGTAGTATACACATTTAGGCGAATAAACGCACATGAGAGGCGATGAAGCAACCGTTCTTTTAGGAGTACCATAGAATTAAATAGACGTTTTCAAAAACAGAAGCAAACACTTCCATACAACTGTTGTGTTTTGCCCTTTGTTTTTTCTACTTCGTTTGATATTCAACTTTTTCGAGTTCTTTTTATATGCGCGTTTTTCACTTACACCTAATTCCAATACATTGCATTTGTCGTCAAACAATTTATAAATAATCAATGAGTCATATATATATATACCTAACAGAAAATCAAATCAAATTATAATTCTTTTTTGAACGCAGAAAATTTTTTCAATATGAAATAATTGTTTGATTTTTCGAGAATGGAAAAATTATCATCAGTTCTTTTTAGTCTCCAAATTTGAAATAGTACACTCTCAGATAAAAATTTGTTTAATTCAAACAAATTCTTGGTTGAATCTACCAAATAAATGTATTGTTAATAAAGTTAACCAAACTTTTGGTTGAATAAATAAAAAGTTTGTTTGGCAGAGATTTTAAACTAAAATCGAAACTGTCCGCATTTCCTACGTATTTCAGTCAATTTTTACTCCAGAAATAGTAAAATTTACTCCGTAAAGTAGTAAAAATTACTCCTGAAACAATAAAAATTATTCCGGAAATAGTAAATTTTACTATTTCTTGAGTAAAAATTGCTAGAAATGCGCAGAAACAGCGGACAGTTCAGGTTTTACTCAAAAAAGAGAAAAATAGAAAAATTAGAAAAATCTAATCTCAAATTGAGTACAAAATTTGGTTGTTTTAAATAAATCTTTTTCTGAGTGTAAAGTATATATTAGTAAATATACTTTTTATAAGATTAAGCTTATGGACTGACTTGAACTAAAGAGAATAATCCAAAATTATCTTTATATTTAAATCAAATATAATGTTTGTTCAGTCAAAAAAGTCAGAAATTATTTTGAATTTTTTACTAATTCTGATTTGGAGAGTGACATTAATAAATTTTATTACGCAAAACGCCATTTTTTTCGTTCAAGAAAATATATTATCTTGTACAAAAAAAAAATCAAACTATTATGGCTATACACATTATCAGCTTA